ACACACACACACACACACACACACACATACATACTATATACCCTTTTCTTTCCAGTTTTCCCCCACAATAATTCAGTGAAGCAGTTTGAGATCAGATGGTGCAATCTTTTGGCACTCTACCCAGAGAGCTTTTATCAAGGGTCAGTTTTCTGAGGCCAGAGCAACGAAATCCTCGAAAGCAATTTATTTATTTTGTCAAATTGAATGCCGATGGTAAAAAAAAAAAAATTGCAAAAACAATGTCCAACACCTTTTTTGAAGAAAGAAATTACTCAAATTGTGCGGACGGAGGCATTGCTATTCTACTAGGTTTTTTTTTTTTTTACCGTATGCATGAGTTCAATATTGAATTTTCTTCTATGCGTGGCACACATATTCTGCATTTATACAGTACAAATTCATTTTTGCAACCCACTTGGGGGAGAAGGAGAATTACACATTCAATGAAACAAACAGAACTAATTTAAAAGTAACCTACAAATAACATTTAACAAAATCTAAAACCCTGACCTGAAGAAACTGAGATACCAAACTGCCGATCTTCAGCAAAACTCATAAAAAAGCTACGTTCCTGTTTTTTCCAGAGCTGACTCCGCAGGTTCAGCTTATTCAAGAAACAATGGGGTCCCTTGGGCACATTTTTTTTCCTAGCCATAATTATTTTTATGCATGCAGAACCAAAAGGCAGAATTACAGCTCCAAGGGGAAACAGAAAGTGGAGTTCTAACTTTTTTTAGCTGATATTTCATCAGAATCACCATATAATGTCATAATTTATATAAACCCAACAATAGACTATCTAAATCGCAAGAGGTTTGTATTCCAACATAGAGTTTGCTTCTCTCTGGACATAAATACATTCACACACAAATTTTTAACAATAGGCTCACTGCATTGGCAAAATAGCTTGCAGGAGAAAAAACTGTCTGGGTAAAAAAAAAAGATCCATAGAGGTAGAAACTTGTGCCGTATGGTCGATAAACTCAATATATAGTAAAAGGAGGCTAGGGTGGTGCGGTGGCCTAGAGGGGGAGCTCTCGCCTCACAATCAGGAGGCTGTGAGTTCAATCCTAGGTAAAGGCATATATTTCTCTCTCTGGGCACTTTGAGAATATATCTGCTGAATATAACTCTGCATTGGTGACAGGAAAGGCAGCCGGCCAGTAAATACTCAGCTCCATTCAGTTTCCCAGACTCCACCCCACAACGGATTATGGGGTCATTAAAAGATTATGATGATGATTGCAGGAGGCCGTCACAGCAGAAAAAGGAGCTTTGGAGCCTATTTTGACTGTCAGACCACCAAAGGCGCCCCTGACATGAGTGATGATGAGCTAGCCACACTCAACCTGGTCATGCCCCCCCAGCCCCCCCCCCCGAGGTCAAACACAACCCAGATGCAGCCCTCAAAGAAATCAAGTTTGATACTCCTGCCCTAACATATACATAAATGTAAATATTAATCACATAATGGAAAAGGAGTTCACAAGGTTGATACTGTAGGGAACAAAACTGTGGGTGAATCTGGATGTTCTGCTTTTCCCCCAAAAAAAGAGGGTGCATCTTATACACTGAATACAGCATTTTTGGCTTCCCAAAACCCTGCCCCCTTTGCAAAAAAGGACGTGCATAGCCTTTAGGAGGCTTCCAGAGTGCTCCTGGGGGCTGGAGAGGGCAAAAACAAGCGAACAATGGGGCATTTTTTGCCTGTTTTTGCCCCCCAGACCCCAGGAGCACTCTACAAGCCTCCCAAAGCATATGTGTGCCCCTTTTTTTTTCAAAAGACACGTTTTTGCAAAAAAATAGGCAATTTTTGCTCATTTCTGCCCCTCCCCCCCCCCGGCCTGCAGGAATACTTTGCAGGCCTCTCAAACTCCCACAAAAAATGAGGCATGCAGAGGGTTTGGGAGGCCTGCAGAGTGCATTTTTTTGTTGAAATTTACCTCTTCAAAATCTTGATGCATCTTATACTCTGATGCATCTTATAGTCTGAAAAATACTGTATGTTCTTGATAGAATGGAGTGAACTGCCAATAATCAAGAATCTAATTGTTTACAGCATTTATTTGCTAACTGTACTATGCGGTACATTGACTTCACAGCCAATAAACACAGGTTTATTGTCATATACCGTGTTTTCCCGAAAATAAGACAGAGTCTTAGTTTCTTTTGACCCCAAAAATAAGCACTTGGTCTTATTTTTGGGGAGGTCTTATTATTTTTGAGGTGGAGTCAGCAAACATAGTCACCTCATGGCTGCTGCTGTGTTGCAATGTTTTTTGGGGAGGGCTTATTTTTGGGGAGGCCTTATTTTAGCACATGCGCTCAAGAGTCCAACTGGGCTTATTATCCAGGGAGGTCTTGCTTTCAAGGAAACAGGGTAGAATTCAAACTGAACATATGCTGAACTTCAGATTTAGTCAGATATCCCCCAAAATACTGCATTCTGTTCTGGATATTTAATATCAAGATGATATTCATAAATCAATGTGATTGAGATCAAGTAAGTGGCATTTGAAGCACCTTTGATGGTTGCCATCATCAAGTAAATGAAGGACTCTCACATTGAAATAGTTTGATAGTACTTGAAAGGGTACACACATCTGAAGAGAATTAAATTAATGAAGTGAAGCGGTCAAGGTTATGAGAAGCAAAATAAATATTTGCATATAAGATTGTGTCGCTCAGGCTAAATTACATAATAAGGTTTTGGTGCCCAGGAAGGTAAGCAATACAGAGAATCCACATGCAAATGACACGCAGAAGGCTTCATTAGACAAAAGCATTCCTCCTTTAAAAATAAAGAGAGTGTTATTTGCTCTCTCATTTTTTACATGCAGCAAAGCAGGGACATGATGGTAAGTGAGGTGGTGAAAATGTTGATAACACAGTAGAAGCTCCGCCATTGGTATATTTGGTGCATGTGCATGTACAAAACAGATTGGAGCATCAATTCTTTACTCATCACTGCCACCTTGAATTTTCTGATCCCTCAGATTGAAGGGAAGAATCACAAGAGGGTCATTGATCATAGTCACTGGGAGTCAGTTTAGCCTGGTGATTTATGAATATCATCTTAAAATGAAATATATGAAATATCCAGAACAGAATGCAGAATTTTGGAAGATGTCTAATTAAATCTGAGGTTCAGCATGTATTCAGTTCGAATACTATACAGCAATAGCACTTAATATAGCGCTTCAAAGNAGTATCACTGATCATTCAATTATAAGACCCCTCACTAGTAACCTAGAGAGCCCCAATAGCCTCATCTTCATGCCATGCCAAGCATAAATGGTGCTATCTAAATATTATTCGTGCATACAGTAATTGGAGGGAAACACATTTTTATGAATGAATATTTTTTAAGAAGGCAGCAATGGTTGAACAATACGTACCCTTGGCATGGTTTATGTCATTGGTCTGTTGTGTTTGAAAGGACTGAGGTTCAGAAGACAAAGGCGTGGTCTTAGATTCAATGCCCAGAAAGATTTCTCTGACATGTTCCGATACTCTTGCTTTTTGTTGGTCCCTCTGCAATCTCTGTGCTTTTGGAGAACTTTCAACTACTTCTCCCTGGTTTAAGACAAAGGTTTTTAATTGTGCTTTAGCTCCTGAGTTTACATCTTCTAGATGGCTGGTCTGTTTAGCAAAGAGCTCCGGCAATAATACTTTCGTATGCTTTCGATTCGAATCAAGGATTTCGGAGAAAGCGCTGGATTCAGCGAGCAATACATTTCTAGCCCTGTAAGTTTCCGCAGAAGGAGAAATACTCTCTGTAAGGTTTGTTTTCCTTGAAAGAGGAGAAGCAGCAAAGGTTTGAGAGGTAGACACATTGTGGGCCAAGGTTTCTGGGTGTAAGTTTCCACAGGCGGTCAGCCCGTCGACCTCCGAAACAGAGTCCTCCGTCAAGGCTAAAAACTCGGATGGTGTCTGTACGGTTGTCAGATCGGTGGAAAGCAAAGAGCTGCCTATACATTCCGAAGGAGAAGACTTTGCAGAAGCGGGATCGGGTTCAATGTTGGATTTAATCTCCAGCAAACAAGAAGAGGGTTGAACAGAGGAAACCGATTGACTCTGAGGGGCCAGCTTTGAGAATCTGTAGTGTGTTGAGAACGACTTGGGGAGAAGCTTCCGTGAGGAATGTTTAACAGATGGCTTGCTTTGGGCCTCTGCGAAGCCAGAGTCATCGCCTTCGTTCTTCCCGGAACTTATGCAGTTGATGAAAACGTTCTTATTGGTGGAGGGCTCCCTCCCCTTTTCAAAGTCCTCCGTCAAGGACCGTGTGATCTTTTTACTTCGAGAACTTCCGAAATGCACAGAATGTCTGCTTCTGCTCTTGGCATGTTCTTCCAAACCAAGCTTTTGCAAAGTGTTGTGGCCTGACTGGGCACCATTCAAAATGCCCGCATTCTGGCAGGAGGACTCCGTCTTCTGATCGCTCCCCTTTCTGTGATGGAAGCTAATGGACGGTGTCCGGAAGAGACTCCTGCGTTTACCTGTGCTACCTGAGCTAGAGTTGGTGCTGGAGGGAGAAGAACTGTGAACACCAATGGTACTGTTGGAAGTTGGTGACGATGGGAGGGAATCATGCTTTCGGTTAATACTTCTCCGGAATATTGGCAAACGAGAGACAATGATTGACCGCCTCGATGTCGAGTCACCCATCAGGACCCCGTTGTGCTTGGCTAGGCCCAGCCAATAATAAAACCTGTTTGGATAGAAAAAGAGACATTATTATTGATTACTAGCTGATAACTCAGCATTGCCTGGGTATTTACCAACTCAAAGCATTTGTCTGACAGGGAGCATTGAGAGGGGCCTTTCTTCCCCCTACTCCCATGCCCATCATCCCTACACTCTCCCTTCCCCCTCCCATATGCTCCTCTTTCCCACCCTGTCTACGATCCTGGCACTTTGCCCCAAATCCATCGGGTGCTTCCCCTTTGGTTCACTGGAGGGCGAACATCACAGCTGGATTTCCAGAGGAAGCTGCGAAGGAACTGACATCACAAACAATTGCACCTCTAGAATGCCCCACTCGCTCTCCTTAACAGGCCAGGGGTTCCAGAGTTAGGCTGGAACACACAGACACACACTGCAGGGGTGTCTTACCCCTCCCCCAGGTACTTTTCCCAGAGGGTAAGTCATCTATGTACCAAGTTTGGTTGAAATTGCTAGAGGTGCTCCAGGGTTATGTTTAAATAAATTTAAAAATAATAGAATAGATAGATAGAATAGATAGAGATATATAGATAATGATACAAAAAGACCCACAAATTCATAGACACATTTCAATTTCCTGCCTATAGAAATGACATTCAGAATCAACATGCTGGGGGGAAAAACCCCACAATGCAACCAAATTGTCACTAAGTTTGATTCAGGCTTAATCTTGCCACTTACTCTCTTCTGTCTTCAATTTTAATTTTACTTTTGATCTTTTTGGGTATTCTCTTCTCTAATAATAAAATTTATCTCACCAATTTGACACACTTTCTCTCCCACTTTCCTTCCATTCTTGAGCTGTCCCAACTTCAGCAGCTTCAATGGCTGCTTCTCTGTGGCCGGAAAAAAGAGCTTCTCCTGGATCAGGAATTTTGCGATGTCCCTGAGATCAGCAGGATGTGCCCTTCTCTATCACCATCTCTACAGGATGGTTTAGGTCCAAAAGGACCGTCCAGCGGCAGAGATATCAATGGCGATCTTGGAGCTCCAAGATAGCATGTCGTATCGTTGCAACGTCAGCCCTGCCTCCAGCCAATGCAACCAAATTCTCTATGTATTACCGTGAATGCCTCACACTTCTGAGATAATGTGGATGTCAGGGTTCCAAATAATACACCTATTGCAAACAGAACTCTGAGGCAGATTAATTGCTCGAAGAACAGCTTTTTTTGGAGATATTATCTTAGCACAGACTGGTGGAAAACCAACTCTGAGAGTTCCCGCGTTTTCCAACTCATTAAAAAGGGAACGTTTCCTGTTCTCCCAAACAATAAGTCGCATTGCCCAATCTGGTTTCCTGGTTGCTTTTCTCCTCTGGCCAGCCAGCTGTTGGTATGTCTATTTATTGTTCAAAAGAGAACTATTTTGTTTTGGCTACAAAACCCCAGTTATCTCTACACCCCGCTCAGCTCCAGGCTGTGTCAAGCCTGAAGCCACATAAAGAAAAATCTCCATAGAAAAGAAAATGGCCACAGCCAGGTCAGCTTCAAGGTTGACAGCGGGACTGAAACCAAATTCCTGAAACCATGTTTTAATGCTAGGTCACCAGAACCTACAAAATGGAACTGAAGGGATATCGTCTCAGGATACAGGCAGCCTTTGTTTAGTGACCGCAATTGGGACCAGCAAGTCAGTTGCCAAACAAAGCGGGTCACCAAGTAAAGCCACAACTCTGTTTATGATCTTATTTCAGCTTTCCCTGGTGGCGCCACGGTTAGAATGCAGCATTGCAGGCAAACTCTGCCCACAGCCTGGAGTTCGATCCTGAAGAGACGCAAGGTTGACCCATTCTTCCGAGGTCGTAAAATGATATCCCAGTTTGAAGGCAATATGCTGATACTGTAAACTGCTCCAAGAGTGATATAAAGCACTATGGGGTAGTATATAAGTAAATGTTATTGCTATTTACAGACTTTTGGAGGTCATGAAAGTGAGGATTGGTCATAAAGGTACTTTTGCATCACCAACATACCTGTGAAGGTTCACTATCTAAAGCAGTCGCTAAGCAAGGATTATTTGAAGACATATATTATAAACCAGTATCTACAATGTCCTTGGAATCAGGTGCTTTAATTACCAATATTTATTCCATATACAAGATTTATGCCATGCTTTTATCAACCATCCCTCTGTATGTCTACAAGAGGAGTGTCAAACTCATTAAATTTCCACATTGAATTTCACTCTGAATTGATTTAATTGATGATTTAAGATGGACAAGAATTGACACACACACACACACACACACACACACACACACAGAGGGAGGGGGCGCTACCTTGTAATTTTCTTTATATATTTATTTTTACAATAATGTTAAGCAGGGGTGTCAAACTTGATTTCATTGAGGGCCGCATCAGGGTTCTCTTTGACCTCAGCTGGGCGGAGAGGGCGTGGCCAGCTCACTGTCATTTGTGTCGAGGGCGCCTGTGGTGGCCCGAATGCTGTGCCAGAGAAAACAGGCTCCTGAGCTCCGTTTTCAGCTGCAATGGCCTCCTGCAACCCTCTGCCTGCAAAAACTGAGCTAGGGAAAGGCATTGCCAGTCCTCCTGAGCTCCATTTTCATTGGCAGAGGCACTGTGGGCCAATCCTTTCCAGGCCAGCCCCATGGGCCAGATCTAAGCACCCTATGGGCCAGATCTGGCCCCTGGGCCTTGAGTTTGACACCCCTGATCTAGAATGTCCTTCTTATCTCTGCTGCTTGCCTATTGGACCTGCTGCTACACTGTTCACGGGATGGAGAATGAAGAATTGTCCTTGCTCAACCTACTTGTTTTCAGCCACTTCAGAGTGTCCTGTGACACAAGTATTCCCACACAGTCAATCAAAATCTCCTCTATCCCTTCTAATAAAGCTATTCACTTTACCAAATATTTACTCTCCTTCAGTGATCTCTTATTTCAACCTTGCCAAGTTCATTTCCAATTAGAAATTCTCATGGTCTTATGTATTTATCAGAATAAGGAAATTATCCTGTTTGTCTTCAGATGCAATGCAGTCTACCTAATACACATTTGAATGTAAATTAGTTTTTACAGGACACTCCCACCTTGTGTTTACTTGCTCTGATTGTGCAGTCGGACAGTGAAAATTGTGATTAAATCCATTACATCTAAATGTCAACAAACGTTGGTGTTTTCAAAGAATATGGATTAGGAACCCAATTCCACTCCAGACTCCAGTGTAAACTTTAAATCAGTATGCACCATGTGTTTCTACCAAACAAAAGTGAACCTCTTGGAGTACAAGAGAATGAATGAGCTGGAAGGGACCTTGGAGGTCTTCTAGTTCAGCCTCCTGCTCAAGCAGGAGAACCTACCTGTTTCCCCCAAAATAAGACCTCCCTGGATAATAATACCAATCGGGCTTTTGAGCACATGTGCTAAAATAAGCCCTCCCCTGAAAATTAGCCCTTCCCAAAAATACTGCAACACAGCAGCAACCATGAGGTGACCACTCTCGCCGCCTCCTGAACCTCAAAAAGAATAAGGCCAAGCACTTATTTCAGGGTCAAAACATGGTATGCTATTTCAAATAAGTGACTGTCTTCTTAAAAGCATCCTCTGATGGAGTGCCCACGGTTTCTGGAGGCAACCTGTTCCACTGGTTAATTGTCCTCGAGGTTAAGTATCCTCCATTCAGAAATCTTGTTCCTGTTCTCCAAGACATCAATGTTCAATCAACTTTCCTCATGTGAGGTTTACAGAGACCACCATAAGAGGCAAGTTATCAAGCAATGGACAGTCGTAATGCAAGACTGAGGTGATATTTCAGCATTGTCTGGCTTACTAGCTGTGCAAACCTGCTCCTTAAGAAGCCGTAAATAGAATTGATCCTAAATCACTGCTGGAAAAAACAGAATTACCTTGCTAAGTTCTGAAATCTCTTTATTTCCCACTGAAGAAATTAACATTATGTTAGAGCTTTTCATATTCTGGTTTGCCATGGCGATTGCTCATTTTTATGGCATTTATCTGCGTACACTGCTTTGCCTCTTTTTAATATTCCCATAAAACAAATCTTAAAGAGATAAACTAGACTGAGATGGCATACTTTCAAAGGAACTGCACAGCTAGCTTGGGGTTTGAATTAATGCAGAATACCAAACAATATTGTCACGAAGCTCTTTCACTGAATGACACAAGATTTCCCCAGTCGTACATCTGCCAATTCTAATATAACGATTACGCTGTGACTTTTTTTTTTTAATTCCACAAATTTGGTTTTTATAACCTATATTGAAATCCCAATGCAATCTATGCTTTTTTAGAAGAGGGGGTTTCTCTCTATGCCTCAAGTTATTGTTTAGGAGCTTTTGGCAGCTAAATAATTGTATACAATCACTGTAACCCCGTGGACAAATCTATCCAGGAGAGAAAGCACTGTTAATCCCCTGGAGACTACACAGGAGAAGGACAGCATAAAGAGAGGACTCCTCAAAGCACAACCTAAAAAAATGGAAAACTCCTGTTTTAGAATGCTAGTCTGATAGCTATTATCTTCTAAGATAGTCCACTGCAAAATTCTATACAGGTTCCGAGTTTCAAAGTGCATCAGAATATATTTGTGTAGGAAAGCAGAGGTTGCGAATGGAATCATTATACTAATAAAATTCTCCTGGTTACGTTTGTAACCTTCAACTGGGCAAAACGGTGCATCGCCGGGCAATAATTCTTGACTCAATGTAGTTCATAAATGGTCTTTCTTAAAGAACATGCCCAAAATCCAGGCTCCATTATTCCTGTTGGAATGAAATTTAACAAAGCTGTGGTTACTTCAGCACCGCCACACTGGGATGCCCCCACACTGTTATGGTTACACCAGTGTTTCTCAACCTTGGCAACTTGAAGATGTCCGGACTTCAACTCCCAGAATCCCCCAGCCAGCATTCGCTTGCTGGGGAATTC